GACCCCGTCAAAGAGGGAAATTAAAATTTCTCAGAGGACGGAACGTTTGTAACCGTAGACGACAAATTGACGGGAAGTGAAACGGTTACAATGATTTATGAAGGTTTTTGAGAGACTGGCAAAGAGGACAGGGCGTAAGGGTCTCAGTGGTCCGACTTGCATCCGGAGAGCAATCGAAGAACGATAATAATCTGTGACGCGGGGTAGACAACGGTCTAAAACTCTCTTTATTCCGTCGGGTCCGAGATACTTTGGGTGGGCTTTTCTTCGTTGTGTATCGTACTAACACATTAAAAATTAATTTGGTTTTGATATTCCGGGAATCCTACTTAAAATTCTTGGCACTTGCGTACCAGGTACACAAACAAAACATCGTAATTATTTATTTAAATTTTTTTTTTAGGACTACGGGCCCGGTGCTAAAAAAAGAGGGCTAAGAGCTACGAAACTTTTTTAGTTCAACTAGCCGAGGCTAGGGGCTAGGTGCACTTAGCTAGCCTGTAGAGATGTTGATATGGTTATTCTTTATGGTGCTGGGTGGTATAAGGCCAAAAGAATAACAGCCAAGATAGCTGAATTCATCGCGTTGGATGACAAGCCGTTATCTGTTACCTTTTTTTTCTCTTAATGCATTACATAAAGATCGGATCGGGAAAAATCGGTATCGGCAGATTGTCAAAATCAAATGATCGGAATCGGATGGGGAGCAAAAAAAGGTGATCGGGACATCCCTAGTTAAGGGGTCCTTGGTATGAAAAAGTTTGAGAAACACTGCTCTAAAGTGTTTTCTTTAACAGAAACAGCAAACTCTTAATTAAAAAAAAAAACGAATAAAGTGATGCCTCAGTGTTAAATTCAACGTTTACATAATATTTTCGGTCAATGGTATCTACTTGAACTGTGAAGTGTTCTCTGTACCTTCCAGTCCACTTGGTCTGAGACACTCCTGAGACTTCCTGGAAGGTAGAGTCTGCCAAGCTGGGGGGGGCGGCCTGGGTGGAGGTCCTCCGCTGGGAGGGGGTGGGCGAGAGGGAGGAGGCTTCTTGGTGCTTGCTACAATGTCTGGTTCCGCTGTGAATTGCCGCGGGGGTTTCAGAGGACCAGAGGAGTCCGAGTCAGCCGACCCATCTGCGAATGGGACCTGGTCTAAGATATCTGCAGGTCTGTGCCCCCACTCCCCCTCACCATCCACCCCAGCCCCCCCAGGGTGACTCCGTCTGACGGTGCTGGTGATGTCTGGGGGCTGAACGCTTTCTTGAGAGCCGACTGATAGCCCTGGGAGGTCTGCGGGTTCAGGTATGGAGCATGCTCCGTTTGTTGCAGCACTTTCCTGTTGATCCTCTGGCCTCTCCACAGGTTGAGGTTGGACAGCCGGCGCTGCTAGCCCCGCAGGAACTTCCTGAGCATTATCCTCTTCCTCCGCCTCCGGTTCTGCTCTCACATCAACATGAAGCTGATCCAACAGCTCAGCCACCTCGGCCACTTCACCAGCACTTCCCTTTTGACTCTCCTCAATGATGCTATCAATGATCTTTGAGGAAGAGAAAAACAAAAACAGATACTATGATGCAAGTTCCCAATACAACAGAAATATGTCAAAGATCATATGTATTTATGAAATCCACACTGCCATACACTATATTCCAAAAGTAACAAAATATGATGAAATCTCCATGTTATCATAGATCACACAGAAATAGGGCCATTCAATTAAAAACCATACCAGTAGGGGATCATCTGACTGATTCTCGGATGCGGCCACTCCGCAACTCACATCTTGTGCAGCGTTTACTGGTCTCTGTGAAAGCTGTTCAGAAAACTATTTTAAGACACTACAATACATACAAGAAAGGAAATAACACATCTCACATGCTAGCTTTGAATAACATCAAGGCGAAGCCACAAAAACCGACTTGCGAACTCACAAAGCAATATTCTTCTTTAAACTTTCCAAAAGTTCTAGTTTTTCACTTTCATTATTTCATTTGATGCAGACATTGAGTGACTGATTGTGATCAAATTCCCGGCTTTTCATGCTAGTTTTAACTATGCATGAAACACTTTCTTTTTATACAAATTCACTTTCCTGCAAACTCAATGTTTTCAGTTCTCTTAAACACAGGGCTAATGCTGGTCCGTGAGCAGTTTCACTCCTGGTTCCATTCCGATATCACTTCAGTATTGTGTTGCAGATAAAGCAGTACATCTACGCTATATCTCGTAAGGGACAAAGCGTAATTTGAATGTCAGTTGTAACTGGCTGTGTGGGAACAACGTGCAGAGCAACCAGGCCGGATTATATATTTACATAATAACTGTCAGTAAGAAGCTGATATGTTGCCAATGGATGAGTATTCACAGTTAATGACTCATTAATAAAACAAGGCTGTTTCTCACACAGGGTATAAATAGTTTAACATGAATTCACTTAAGGTGGGCGCAGCATTAACGAAAGCTACAAACACTGCATTCACCTCTATATAATTAGCCACTGTAGGGTTCAGTTCCAACAGTCCTACTAGGGCTGCTCAATTAATCGTATTTGAATCGCAATTACGATTTTGGCTTGCAACGATTATGAAAACAACATAATCGAAATAAAACGATTTTTCTTTTTTTTAATTATTGGTTTTTCAGTTGAATTATACTTAAAGTTCAGGGTAATCAACTGTTAAAAACATACTGTTCAACATTTTTTTTTCAATAAATGGATGTTTTCAAAGTAAATGGATATTAGATTTTAATAATCATGATATCAATTATTGACCCAAATAATCGAGATTATGATTTTTGCCATAATCGAGCGTCCTACCTACCTCCAAAACTAACAATCATATGATATATATCTGGCAAAAAATAACTAGTTTCAATCTACCTCAATACTCAACAAAGGATTTGAAAATAATATGATCTAAATTGTTTTACTTTAAATTAATCTAATTTAAATGAATGTATTAGCATGTATTATGATGTATTAACATTTTCCACATCATTTCCAAGCCTTGGTAACACTGAAAATACTGAAAAAGTTAGAATAATCAGTCCAATAGCAACTCCGCAAACAGTGCCTTGTTTCAACAGTGACTGCGCTTAGATAAACATACCTTGGGAGAAGGAATGAAAAACTTTGCAGGTGACCTAGAAAAACACAAGGGGAGAGTGAAAAAAAAAAAGTAATCCTTATTATGTAATTATTCTGGAAATTCTGAAAGCAATTCACAGACAAGAATGGTATTCACTTCACTGGTGTTAGGGACGTTATTTAGTAAGCAAATGCATTCAGATGCTGCTAAAAGGTCAATAAATAGTTTTTGTTCTGAACTTGATAATAAGTAATAAGTACTAGTAAAAAAAGAGCAGCTAGATTTACCAAAATGATTCATGTCATGCATGTGTTATCAACTGACCATTCATTGCATGGTAGCCTTTACAATGTACAATTACTGAAAAAGCAAATACTTATAATTTACAAATGACAGAAAGTCCAGAGGGCAGCTTCACAGTTTCACCTTGTTGTAATACAAGATAAATGCTAATAACTGATTTAATGGGTCATCATAAATAAGTAGGACTCCTATCATTATTTGGAAAACAGCCAATGTTTCCTGGTTTATTTTGACTTCAGTCGATACAACCACCAGCCAGCCAAAACACCGAGCTAACACAATGACACCTAGAAAAATATAGTTGGTGTTACAATAAGCAATGTTTTTAAAATTAAATTCACAATCTAATCTCTGGAATAACATCATGTGACTTGTTAAGGTTGACTCTCTCTGCACTTACATTAAACTGCAAGTGAACTTAGGTATCCAACACATTTTATTGGTTTATATACAGGATTTACAGGACAGTATTTAGCAGCGACTAGAGGCTCTGATGCAGTTCAGTATATAACATTATCATTTAGCAAAGTTATCTTTAGCTTTCATTACTAACGGTTGCTTGTAAGTTGTTTGATTCTTATAACCTAGCATGACACATTAAGCAGACAAGCGTATGCATTGGACACTTTTATGTGAAGTCAAGTTATGAAAATGTAAAGTTTCCTTACACTTTTGGAGATGGAGTAAAGTGAACGTCCTCAGGAGCATCATAGAATTCCTCGGTGTCACTTGTATCTGACGCCATGCTAACATGAATTTAGCTTACGAGCTACTCAAATATAGTCGCCAGGCAGCTGTTTAAAAGCCTAACCTGCGAATCAAAGTGCCACACACATGCACTTGTCCTCTCTGTGTGTGTATTATAATTTAAAATACTTTCCCCCGGGGTCGTCAACCACTTTTTCTGTCCAACGTCACGGCATAACGTTACAGTATGCTAGTCAAAATGCTAGGCTAACAAATGTAATCTACTGGCACGGCGGACCAACGCCTACTGCTGCTAGCTTTCTACCCTCTTATAAATCTGTCTCCTTCACAGCACAGTATTCTCTATGAAAGCACCAATAAAGCGCGTTTTTACAACAGCATAATACTTGGTCAGCTGTCAAGCTAACGGAGACAGTGACCCGCGTCATAAACAAACCAGAAACACAAAAAAAAACATATGAACGAGGGTGAATCAAAGGGCGGGGCTGGGGGGCTCTCTTCTTCTCCCTCACTTATATTACATGGTTTGTATGATTCTGTAATATCACTGCCCACTACTGGATTCTTTGAGGAAAAGCAAGCAGGAAAATCGGGAAAAAAAACAGGGATGGGCTGTTATCATGTGACTTGGGATGCTGGGTATGAAGAAAGGAGATTTTTATTATAAGATTGCACACAAAACAATTGGCAAATAAGCCAATCACTATTTGAAAATAAAAAACACAAAAAAATCGATCTATCTATCTATATATCTCTAATCTATCTATCTGTCTATCTATCTATCTATCTTTCTATGTATCTACCTGTCTATCTATGTATCTATCTATACATCTATTTATCTATCTATCTATTTATCTATTTATCTATCTATCTATCTATCTATATATATATATATATTTATCTATCTATCTATCTAATCCATCTTAATATATCCATTTATCTATTCATGTATTCATGATCAAACCTTCCATAATCCACTTTTATCTCGCTCTATACCTCAGAAACCTGCAGATGAAATGCTGTTGTGGGTCTTCCTCATCTTGGATCTTGCAGTGGTCATGCATACATATTTATTTCACAGTTCAAACACAGCCTCCTTCACTAGCAGGATCCATTTCTTGGAAAAAATAGAAATAGACGATTCAAATTGAATCAATTTTGTATTGTCACATACTGTATGTGCAAACCACAGTGAAATTGAGGGTCTGCATTTAACTCATCCTCATATAAGGATTCGGGCAGCTACTATACACTGCCCAGGGTCAGGGAGCAGTATGTGGAAGCAGAGTAGAATATTGCTGGGTACCAGTCCCTCTGTAAATGGTCTGTTTTGGTACTTGAACCCTTAGGGACTTGGTCCCTATGGACTGAGCTACTGTCGCTCTCCATGCAAATAAAAACGTATAACACCAACACTGCAAAGCTTTATACTGCTTATAATATTATACAGCCCCTGGTACATTAGTAACACAGAGCCATTCACAGTGAGAATCAAAACATTGCATTTATTTGAAAATGATTCAGATTAAATTGATTCTGCAATATGTGTGGGAAATGTATTTATATTTATAAATGTTGATATTACTAGAAAATGTTATTACATGGTACTGTTTATCAGCTTCTTTAACAGTCAGCCCATTCATAAGCTGTGAATTGTTTGGTAAAACATGCACATAAATTAGCAGCTGTGGGTCCTATTGAGTCAAACATAGGCAAGCACTAAGAACTGCTGAGCAGCCAACAGTACAGCTAAATTACAATTGCAATTGTACTTGACGTTTGTTCCAAAGCGTTCTTTGTTGCAAACCAATGCATTAGTTGATTAATACTGATTTTTTTATTAATTATCGGAGTGGTAAAAAGGTGGCGGTGTCATTAATGAAAAAGCCTCATTGCATTTTAATGAATTGCATTAATTTGTTTTGGTAATATTGTAGACAGTGTGCATTTTTATAATCAAGCGTGGAATAAATATGCAAAAACCAAAAACGAAATAAACCCCAAACTCTGAATGTGTTTTGCATCATAAGATTGCTTTTTGAGCAGAAGGCTTTGTCCTTGACCGATACACAATTCACTACATAGGAGGTTTTCTAATACAGCTTTACAATTGTATTCATTACACAATTAAGGTTATGCTATTAATGAAAATGTGAACTATATTTTAAGAGACAGACAAAAAAGACTATGCATATATACATGCAGGCTGCATTTAAATCCCTCTTATCTCCCTGATAATAACCTCAAAAAAGTCCTACTTCTTTTGTGAAAATGACCACATACAGCAGGGCACTTGGGGCTCTTCATTGGAGTCACCGTGTGTGTTGTTGCAGTAATTTGTCAAATCATAAATAAAGATATAAGGCTGTCACTTCATACCATAGCTTCATACTTGTAACAGGGTGCCTATCACTATCCTTGTATATACTGCTGGGTGTTTCGAAGAAAACACTATCTATAGTACCCTAATTAGTCGAACAAAGCAACACAATATTTGTTACAGGGTACAAATGCCTCACAGAAAGACGACTCCTCTTTGGAAACACTTTATTTAGTAACGGAAGTTTTGAGCCAATGAGAAAAGATTGCCATACTCTTCCACTAATGGGAAGTTAGGATGCTCCGGCTCTCCTAGTAAGCCATGACTTCATTGGATAAAACAAGGAAGGAGGCTACAGGCCAGGGTATAAGTGGATTTGAGGGCTTGGAGGAAAACAAGGACGCTAGTTAACGTTGTCTCGGCGTTGAAGGTATGGAATATGTTATTTAAAAGTTTACAGAGTGTATTCAAGATACATAGGGTGGTTAAAAAAGCAAATGTAGTATATCAAGCTCAACAAATATCAGTTTGACAGGTAGTCACAGACATATGATGGCAAACCAAGCAACCACACTAACTAATAACTAACCAAACTAACTCATGTAAAGACCCCGGTGTTTTACGTGTTTTCTGTCAGTAATGAAGCTATAAAAGATATCGGACGAAGAGCTACTTACTTAACAGCTATGTAGTCGCTTGTCTTGGTCTAACGTTGTTTCAAGCTAGCCAATGGTCATGTTTGAGGGTTAGCTTGGCTAGTTAGCATTAGCCTGTTCCAACTGGAGATGTTAGGACTTGGCTAAAGAAACATGGCCAGGAAACTAGCACAGCTTCAGTCTGACAGCTTTGCCTCTTGTGACAATGTATACGTTTAGCGTGGCTAAATAAACAATAGCATTTTTAACAGCCTAAAGTATTTGCTAGCAAGGAAGTCGGCTACCTCCATAGTTTCTGCCTACATGTTTCAAGCTTTTAAAGGACTAATCTCACCGTCTTCATGCCTGAGCTCAGCGCACAGCACTTAGCAGAAGCAAACTATCAACTCCATCTGTTCAGTGTCACTACAAACATGTCACTTTAACGTGTTCATATCAACAGGAACCAGGCGGTTACGGAAACTTTTTACCAAATAGTAATAGAGTTTACCAGTGGCAATTATTTTAAAACATCTAAGTACTCCCTTTATTTAGTACATCATGTCAGCTGAATTACCCGGGACATTGTTCTGCCAAGTAACACACACACACAAGGCAGATATTTATAGCTTCAATTAGCCTAGTTCTGTGTAAGCAACAAGTTAGGAATATGATGCAACTGTCACATTTCAGCTGGGGTTGGGGATCAAGAAACGCCCATGCCCCCTTTCATCAATGCATGTATGACATTTTACATCGAAAATGAACATTAATGCAAATATATTATTTTGAGGAAGTAATATGAGCACAGGCTGTTGGGAGCTAAAGTATGTCAAACACAAATGTTTGCTTTTAGGATTAACATGCTGGAAAGTTCTGATATTTACTGAAGTCGTAGGCTGTTATTAAACCTTTTCTGACACGTTGGAACTGTCATGTTGGGCTCTTCTATTCACTTGTTCATCTCAGTTGGGACAAAGTAGCTTGTAGATGTTGTTACATATTTAAAACTGTGTGAAATTGTAAGAAAGTCTAACTGTTGATCTGTAGTACAATAATACATGTGTTCTCTGTTTGTTTTGGAGATGTGAGACACAATTTATTTAACTGGCATGCATGACTTACTGCATGGCAAAGGTGTCTTAGTTACGGAAATTGATATATTTGTCTAATTAGGCAAAACATTGTATGTGTGCGGACAAAATTAAACTCTGATATAGTGCAGTTGTAAGACTTGTTGTTGCTAATCAAACCCTTACTACCAGTAACATATTTGGCTTTTTTTTCTTGTGTAAAATGTAATATTTGTTGATGGTACCATGTTGTTTTTTAGGTGTGGTTTTGGCAAGGGTATGGAGCACCCTGTGCACAGAGGGGAGACGATGCCCATCGGACTACACGACAGGTAATGTGCAAATGTCTCTTATTCAGTTTTTTTTCCCTTACAATTGTGAGTATGTGTATTAATTAACTAGGCAAAATGACTTTCAAAATGGTTGACCGTTCTTGAATTGTAAACATTACCTGAGTTATCAGTGCTGTTGTCAGTCCGGGTTGGAACATGTCTTCTGCCTGTAATTGGACGTGTTAATATGGTAATCCGTGATTAGATTGTAAGAAAGAAAAGAAGTAGGCCTAGCATCAATTACCTGGGACAAGGGTTGAGAACTACTGCCAAGAGTCTTACTAAAGTGTCACGCATGATTTAAAAGACATTACTTTGTTTATTCTACATTAATTCACCTTTGGCAGTTTGCCAATGCCTGAATGGCCTGGACATGGTGTTGCTAATTTATCACCATTTGCCAGCTGTTGTACTCTCGCACGGTTTTGTCACTGACCAGATGTGGAAGTTGAAATTGAATATAACGACAACTGTGTTTGATCACTTTGTTCTTCAACTTTAAACAGTATATCAGCAAAGTTAAGATTAAAGCTATGACTTCTAAAAGATGTCCTCAGCCGACACATTTGGCCCGGTTTCTCTAGAGTTTGCTGGAGAGAATATCAGTATAGCCGTGAGTAAGCTGCAGGAGAAACTAAGACAAATGGAGAAGATACAGAAACTTGGTTCAGTTGCGCGACCTCTGTTCTTTAATTAGTAGAATCACACATTTTACTCTGTTTTTGTGGTAATTACTTTGCAATAATAATCGACTATGTTGTAATTGTTACAAATGATCCGTTTCTTTTAACATCAATGACAGCAGGCAGGCGAAGCATAGTCTGCTTGAAAACTGCGTGTAAATAAAAGAGCAGACCAGATGACATTATGAACTTGCTTTTATGGATTATATGTTTTTTATTTCTTTAAAAACATCCTATCAAATGATTTCACATACTGATTCCTCTTGGATTAAGACCCGAGTGTTGCTATACAAGGGTAGATTGTGAGTTTTTTTTGTATTTGCTTCTATCTGTTTGCAAACGATTTTCCTTTTAACACATGAACATAATTGTGACCGTGTGGAGGTGGATGAGAAACTACACCAACTGGATGAGCAGTTATGCAAAAAAAAGA